CGCGGCGGGCACTTCCGACAGACTCACTCACTCACTGGCCCCCGGCGAGGCCAGTCCAGGCTCTGCCACCCTGCCGGCCACAGGGAGGCCAGCGTGCTGTGTCCTGATGGGCCCTGCTCCAAAGGCTGAGGGTCCTCTTTTATTTTTTTGGGTTTGGGCCACATGCACCTATGCTCGGGGAACCACACGGGATGCCGGAGACCAGGGCTGGTTGGTCGTGAGCCTCCTCACTGTACCAATGCTCCTGCCTGATGCTTTCACAGGCCACCACACACTGAGCGGCCAGGGTCCCCTGGCACGGGGGAGGGGAGGAACGGAGCCCAGGGCTGCCACATTCAAAGTGGGTGCTCTCCCCCCCACCCCCGACCCCAAATATCATTACTGGGAGAGAGCTGAGAGTTAAAAGCCTAAGTGTGGGCCCCAAGAGAAACCACCGCAGCAGGCCAGGCCCCCAGTCCTCCAAGCACTGTCCAGAGGTCTCCTGCCCCCGCCCCAAGCACACTCTAGCAATCTTGGTGCAATGGATATTCCCTCTGCTTCCCTTCACTGCTGGTGGCCACAGCCAAGTCCATGTGTGGCCCTGGGGTCTGCACACTGCAGCGGAGCCAGGAGCCTACCCAGAGCTGCACCTCGGGGCCGTACCCCTGTCACGCACGACCCAGACCCCGGAGCACTGGTTCAGAGCCCCCTGCAGGAGCCCCCCCCCCCCCCCCCCCCACTCGTCGGCACTTACTTGTCTGTTTTCGAGGTCGATCTTGTTTCCCAACACGACAAAGGGGAAGTTCTCGGGATCCCGGGGACTGGCCTGGATGAGAAACTCGTCTCTCCAGCTGTCCAGGGTCTTGAAGGTGTTGGGGGCGGTCACGTCGAACACCAGCACGCAGCAGTCTGCGCCTCTGTAGAAGGCCACGCCGAGGGACTGGAACCGCTCCTGTCCGGCCGTGTCCCAGATCTGCAAGAGACGAAACGGCTCTTCCTTGGGGAGAGGCTGGGCTGAGCGGCAGGGCCGGGGGCCGGAAAGGAGCACGCGCCCGCCCAGGAAGGGACGGGGCCCAGACGTCAAGAGGCCGGTCTTAGTGCCTGAGGACCCACAACAGCCCTGACGGAAAACTGGGTGACCGTCACGGTCCCTGCCGTGGTAGCACATGCTGATGCAAGATTCAAACTGCAGGGCAGGGGGACGCTTCCAAGGGTGGCAGCACTTCTGCACTAGAGCACTGCAGGGTGTGGACGGAGACCAACAAAGTCAAGCAGTGACTTTACTGCCCAGTCGGCTCAGCTTACTCCCGGGGGGCTGGGGGGCTGAAACCAGGTCAGCGTGTGCCAGGCAAGTGCTCCACCTACTGCACTGGGCTCTGGCCTCTCAGACGTACCTTTGGGGGGTGATGGACACATAGGACTTAATTATTCACCGAGTTATACATTTAACTCTCCACAGTTACTGCAGCTACCACACACCGTAAGGAAAGCAAGCACATTTAATCACACTAAATCCCAATTAAACACCAAGGCAAGCAGCCAGGGAGGCCTGGGAAGGGGCAGGTGGAGGCAGGATGGAGGTAGCGGGTGGTGTAGCAGCGGGGGATGAGGAAACAAAGGCTTCACGGTGGCCTTAGAGCTGTCATTGTGACCCTGTGATCTAAGAAGCACCAACGACCCTCCCCTAAGGAGGAAACGAGGCAGACTCATCCCAGACGGATGCCAAGGAAACGGTAACAGTGGACAGGGCGGTAGAGAGAAGGGCAGTAGAGTGGACAGCACCGGGCCCATCTTGGCGTCTCTGTCTCAGTGCTGTGATAGCCTCGAATCCCGAAAGGGGGCGAAAACGCTCTTCCTCTTAGGGCAAGTCAAACAGGCATCTGGAACTCAGATGGCCAAGGAAGGAATTAAAAGGACAAGTGTTGGCCAGGGGGACGGCGCCAAGGGCTGGAGTGCATGTTCAGTCTGGAACCACCATGCCGACTTCCCGAGCACTGGGGAGAGTGGCCCCCGGGCCCCCCTCCAGGAGAACCCCCCAAACAAAGACAAGCAAAAGAAAAAGGAAACTCGAGATCTGGTGGAGATGGTGCAGGGGGCAGCGCCCAGCCCTGCACGCGCACCCCTGAGCGCCGTCCCGCCCACCACCCACCCTGGGCTGAGGACTGACTACGCTCGGGGCCGCCTGCGTGCTTCATACTTGGGAATCACGCCTGGCCGTGCTTGGGGGACCGGAGGGGGTGCCGGGGATGGAGCATGGGCTGGCGGTGTGCAAGGCAAACGCCCGACCCACAGCGCCTAACTTTCCTTTCTACACTCAAGACCCTGTGGCTGCCGGGTCTTCCCGGCAGGGCCTTCCTGGTCCTGAGCATTCTCGAGGGTACGGGCCTGGCTCTCACTGCTCACGACTTTCCTCTGCTCCACTCAACCTGACTTTAGCTGCCCGGTTAGCTGATTTCGGTAGCTCCCCACCTCCCGAAGTCCTGAATTCCCCACCTTCCCAATCCCCTGCTGTCCCTTCTCGCCAGGTCCTGTTCCTGCTCCACAGTCCCCATCACTGCCTGCATTTCTTGTGGCGTGCAATTTCCTCTCCAGCTCTGAGCTCATCTTCTATCCTCGGCATCTAAGTGTCCCTGGTCTCCTCCTTTTTGCCCGGAGTGACAGGGACCTACGTACAAATCTTCCAACGATTTCTCTATTTGCAGAGCATAAATCAGGATCTGCACATGAGCATGGTAAAATCAGGATCCACACACGAGCACAGTGGGAAGAGTCTCAGGCCTGTCCCCACACTGGAGTGTGCGTCTCCCTCCTCGCGCTCCTGGGGAGGGATGAGCTCGTCAGGGTTCACCCGCCGGGGACCCGGTCCCTGCGGCTGGGGAGCGGTAGCCAACTGTCCCATCCTCGCAGCGTTCCCGCTCCCTCTTCCTTCCCATATTCCCGAGTGTTTGGCGGCCCTTTAAACACCCGTGAGCACGGTGGGGGATCCACGTGAGGCGTCCAGGGGCACCCTGAGACCTGGACCTTCTCAGAGGGTGGCAGAGCATGAGGGCAACACCCGTGTGGAAATTTCTACCTGTGGCACTGGAGCATTTCACGAGACCAGTGTTTGCTTGGACGCCAGTGGCCTGAATGCTACCTGCGTCTAGAAGCTTCTTCCATGGGACCCCCTCTGCTACAGGGAGAAGCATGCTGCGAGAAGGGAGGCGCAGCCCAGAGCGCAGACGGGGCCAACTGACAGCGCGGTGGCCTGGATGGGAAGCACCGTCAGGAGACGGAGAAGTGGGAGCCGGAGCACAGTGGGTGAAGCAGTTCCTGGCACGTGGGAATTTGGGCTCGGTCCCAAGGACCACACATGGTCCCTGGAGTGTGCCCCCCCAAACCAAACAAAACACAAAGGACCGAAACAGGAAAGCAGCCCGAATGTGATGGCCTTAAAAGCCACAGGAGGAAACCTGTATCTTCACCCAGTCCCGAAGAGATGAGACCGTACGCTAAAGACAAGACTGGCGGAGAGAAACGCCACTCTGACAGATGAAAGCGAGCCAGAAAAGGAAGCGGCTTTAACGGGTGCAGTGAAATCCTAGGAGCAAGACAAAGGCTTTGTGGGCTCAAGTGCTCGGTAAGGACATTCTAGAGAGACGACAGGGCCCCGGAGGCTGCCCATCAGCAACGCCCCCCCCCAAAAAAACAACAACACAAGAAGTTGTGTTAATCTGAAACTTTGGGGGAAAAAAACCCTCTAGGATGTCTCGTGCAATACTTAAGACGAGTATCACCATTACGTGAAATTCCAAGTTATGGGTGCCGGGAGCTTCCTCTGGCAAACCCACCCACAGGCAGCTGCGCAAGGGAGAGGGGAGGGGAGGGGAGGAGAGGGGAGGCTGGGCAGCCTGGCGGACCCGCTCACCTGCATCGTGACTAGTCTGTCATCCACCATCACCTCCTTTGTCAGGAAGTCTGCTCCTATTGTGGCTTTGTACTGATTGCTGAATTTCTTGTTCACATACTGGTTCATGAGGGATGTCTTACCGACCCTGAAAGGAAGGAGAAAGCGACAGAGCCACCCGTCAGGAAGGGCTGGAGCCGATCCCGCGACGCTTGGCGCTCTGAAGGAACCCGCCTGTCGGGGAAGAACAGGGAAGAGACGCTCGCGCCCGCGCCGGCTGCCCAGATGTTTTCCTCCTGGGCTCCCGAGGACCATCACAGGGCAGGTCAGACGCCGACAAACTGCTGTTGGGTTTTAGAACAGGCAACTCAGATGGGAGAAGCCAGGAGCACTTTTTCCTTCCAGAAAGCTGTCTCTGAATAATTTTCTCTTTCTTCTTTTTCTTTCTTTTTTGGGGGGGGGGGGTATACCAGGTGATGAGCAGGGGTTACTCCCGACCCTGCACCCAGGAATCACTCCTGATGGTGCTCATGAGACCAGAGGGAGGGACTGAACCTGGGTCGGCTGCCTGCAAGGCAAACGCCCGACGTGCTGCTGTTTCTTTCTAAGAGAGATGTTAGCAATACTGTCCCTCCCCTGTCTATCTGAGGCAGAGGAAGCACCAGAGTGTTCCTGGAACCAGAATCTAACTGACAAAAACTCCTCCAGGGACATCTGCCAGTGATGCAGCATAGCAAGGAGCAGTGAAAAACAAACAAAACTGAGCAGACAGGCTAAGAGAAGGTGCAAATCTCGCTCCGAGCCAATACCAACGTCCAACATCACCCCTTCTCCCACCAAGGAGCTCATTCATTCTCCCAGACCTGGAAGCGCACACAGACCCCATGAGGGCCTGGGGGGGGGCAGCACAGTGGGCCGAGAGCAGCAGGCTGGGCCTGGGGTCAACCCCGGGCACCTCATGACTCCCCTGAGCACTGAGCACCACCAGGACAGAGTCCCAGAGGCAGAGGGGCAGTCCAGGACGATGCCAGGTGCAGCTCCCCCCGCCTCCTTCCCCATGAAAACACACACAGAACAAAAGTGATGTCGCCACGGAAATGTTCTCCGAGCCAGGTGACCTGAGCAGGAACTTCCACGGGAGAAGCTGGGAAAGGGGAGGCTGGAAAGGGCCAGTGGTTCTGAGGAAAATGGGGTGACACGGCCCTAGGAGCACGTTTTGATTCTGCCAGCATGCCAGCAACGTGTGTGTGCGCGCGCATGTCTTTAATAGATGCGAAGGGGCCTTGCGGGTGGGCACTAGTAAATGCTGGTTTGCACAAGGCTCCTGACGGGATTCAAAGAGCCAGCAGGGGTGGGTATGGGTGTGGGTGGCGCGTGTGTTAATAACCGATCACTGGCTTCTTGTATTCTGGATTTCCCAAACAGTGGTGGGGCGCTCAGGCCAGTGCCCAGGTCTTACCCCTGGCTCAGCTCCTAGGGGTCACTCCTGGGTGCTGGGAAGCAAGCACTGGCCAGGCGCCTTACTGCTGTCCCACTGTGCTCTCTGCCCCGGTTTTATCCTGTTGTTTCCCTCACACCCAGTGCCTCCTGCCGTGGTTAGCTTCCATAGACGACAGGCCTACCGCAGAATCTTCACAGAGTCTTGGGAGCTGGGACAGTCAAGTAGCCCAAGATGCCAGAGGCTACACAGCCAGCCAGACAGGACCCCTTCCTCACCCGTGTCATGTTCTAAGGGGCAAAGGGCAAAGCACACACAGCGCTGTTCCAGTCTCTGCTCTGCCCAGAGAACAGCAGGGCGCTGGGGCCCCGAGGCAGTTACTACAAAAGGAAGCGGCAACGCTGAGGCTGGAAGGCACAGGCTCCGAGGAGGCAAAATTCAAACCCAAGGTCATCTGTCCATCAGCTCCAATTATTTTTTATTCATTGTTTTTGCTTTTAGGGTCACACCCGGCAATGCACAGGGGTTACTCCTGGCTCTGCACTCAATAATTACTCCTGGCGGTGCTCAGGGGACCCTATGGGATGCCGGCGATTGAACCCGGGTCGACTGCGTGCACGGCAAACGCCCTACCCGCTGTGCTATGCTCCAGCCCCCAGCTCCAACTTCTGAGAGCACTTACCCAGAATCTCCCAAGATGATGACCTTCAGCAACACTTTCTTCCTAGAGGTCATCCTTCCAACTGTAAGGAGAAGAGAGAGAGTGCGTGAGTGCCGTGAACACCCAGGCACGCCCGTCCGCCCGCCCCTCACACTCAGCGTCTCCCTGGTAACACCAGCCTGAGTTTTCTTGCCGGCTTTCCCCTGCCATGGGGTCTGGATGGTGTCACCCAAACCCTGTACCGAGAGCAGCCCCTCCCCCCCCAGTCTAAATAAAGGACTCTGGGTGTGCCCGGGGGCACTGAAGCACAGAATGTCAAACCCTGACAGGACGTGGCTCCTAATTAAAACAAAGGCAACAAAAGACCATCAGGTCACAAGAATGTGATCGCTCTCAAAACATCCCGTGGTACCTAGTCAAAGTTTTAGGCAGCCGTAACTGAAACCGTGGAAAGACAAGGAAACCGTGGACAGGAGGGAGAAGATGTACTATTGGCTTGGTGTTTTTATGCACCAGATAGGCCTGGCTTTTCTCTAATGTGAAAATAGCTTTATTCCTCCACTGCACCTGCACTGCCAAACACAAAACCACCGTCCAGTTAAGATGACTGGACTGGCCGGAGAGACGGTGCAGGGACTAAGGCACTGGCCTTACTCATGGCCAACACTGGTGACTCAAGCACCCTCCTGGCCTGAGTAAGGTGAGTCTAGAACCGTCCTCGTGAGTTGAGTGTGACCGTGGCGCCCCTGAACTAAAGGAACCCTGCAGGTGCAGCCCGCACGGGAAGCACCGCCACCAGGCCCGTGTGCGGCTCCCAGGCACTGTGACAACAATAAAGGGAATGGGGGGGATCAAGAATCAAGAGGGCCTGAGACAGTCCCTGCGGCTAAAGCCCTTGCCTTCCACCCCATGAATCTTGGTACGATCTCTGGAACCAGAAAGGTCCCCAGAGCACTGTCAAGGGTGACCCCAAAAAGCTAATTTTAAAAAAGTTAGTAAAGGAGAGAGCGAAAGCATGGTGGGTTGTACGCTCACTGCTGCTCGTGGCTGACCCGACTTCAATCCCTGGCAACGCCTACGGTCCCCCGAGTCTCACCAGGAGTGACCCCTGAGCAGAGAGAGCCAAGAGCAAGTCCTGGGCACTTCCAGGTATGGCCCAGACTTTCCTTCCCCGGTGACTCCCCCAAAAGAGAATCAGACAGGAACAAGCTGAGGCTGGGGAGATGGCACAGAGGTCAGAGCATGTGTCCACCCGGCCAGGGTCTGACCCCTGGCACACGCCACCTGAGCCCTGATGGGCACGGCAGCACCACACTCCTGGGTGCCAGCACCGAACTGTCCTGCCCCGCTGGCCAAGGACTGCTTGGGGTCAGCCCTGGGCTCCCGAGCCCCACTTACGTGGTCCATGTGAGGCACATAAAAACCAACAAGAAATGAGCAATTCTGACAAACGCAGCACTATAAAAACCAGTGGCAAAACAAGTGGTGGAAACTAGGAAGACAGTGGTGAGAATTCAGCTCCCCAGGGAAGCAACACTGACCAGGCTGGTGAAGGTCCATGTTACTGAGGAGGTTCTTGGGAGGTGCACTATGATACAGACGCGTCTGTGCGCATCATGTGTTCTGTGGCCTTTAGAAGTGCACACTGACTTTAGGACCCTCGGTTTCAGTTTCTTTTTAGCTTCTTAGGTCACACACAGTTCAGGGGTTACTCCTGGCGCTGTGCTTAGAGTCACCCTGGCAGTGCTCAGGTGACTGTATCGGACATCAAGAATTGAACCTGGGTCAGCTGTGTGCCAGGCACAGGCCCTACCCACTGGACTATCCATCCAGCCCCTCTATTTCTATTTTGGAGGAAAAAGCTCGTAGGTGGGTTTTTCTTTTTTTGGTCACACACAGCGGTGCTCAGGGGTTACTCCTGGCTCTGCCCTCAGGAATTACTCCTGGCGGTGCTTGGGGGACCATATAGGATGCCGGGGATGGAAGCTGGGTTGGCCGCGTGCAAGGCAAACACCCTACCTGCTGTACTATCACTCCAGCCCCATCGGTTGGTTTGTCAAGTCAGTTTTATGACTCCAAATGCCTCCCTTAATCATCACAAACATTTCCTTTCCTTTTTGGTTTCTGGGCTATACCTGGCAGTGCTGGGGCAGGGCGGATCATAATGGGATGCCAGGGATGGAGCTGGGGTCAGCTGTGAGTCAAGGCCTTACCCCCCTGTATTACTGCTTCTTTCTGGTCAAGCACATCAATTTCCATGAACACTCAAGGGTTGTGGCGAACTAGCTTAAAGATTCTCACATCTGGTTTCTGCAGACCTTTCATGGCTTTCGTTTTTGGGTCATACCGCGTGGTGCCCAGGGCTTACTCCTGGCTCTGGGCTCAGGCGTCACTCCTGGTGTGGCTTGTGGGGGACAAGTGGCAGCAGAGACGGCCCGGATCAGCCTTGCGTAAGACAGCGCCCTCCTCGCTGCGGTACTGCTCCGGCCCAGACCACGTGAGGCCCAGGAATATCTTCAGGAACATCCATTAAGCACACGAATATTCCTATACCTTTCTAGAGTGAGACTGTTTCCTTCCCTCTGCTACCAAACCAAACATCGTCGGATGCTCTGGCAAGAGTTCCTTGGAAGAAGGAGCATTTCTGGGGAGCAAACACTTAAGTGTTCCGCAGGCTGATACGATTCTTTCCCTCCTGACGGTTCTCATGCAATAAATCAAAATCTCGACTTTCCCTCCATTAGCCTGAAGCTGTAGCGATGCCAAAGGCAAGGGAAGATTCCAGCAGGCAGCAAGGTCAGGGCAGCGGTGTGCCGGAGAGGGCAAGAACAAAGCCCTGGCAGGGAACAGGGACGAGTGCAGGAGAGGGGCAGGAGAGCAGGAGCAGGGCAGGGGCGGGGCGTGGGGAAGAGTCTGGCTTCCTGCAGGGAGAGCTCGTGAGGGTCGGAAATGGCTCCTGGGGCCGTCAGCAAAGTGTCTGGAGAACAGAAAGCCACAGAATCCAGGTGGGGCCAGAGAGGCAGTACAGGGGTTAAGGCGCTTGCCCTGCAGGCAGCTGACCCCAGTTCTGCATATGGTCCCCGAGCACACTCAGAAATGATGTGGCACAGTGCAGGAATCGGCCCTGAGCACTGCAGGGTGCTGTCCCCTTCGGATCCAAAAGGTACAAGAGAAGGGAGCAAGATGAAAGCCACCCACGGCCCCATCTCTTAGAACTAGGTCAATTTTCCCCTCAAATGGTTGCCCCTAGGGTACACAGCGTTGCATCCTGATTTTTTTACATTCTGTATATTTCTGTTAGTAACAGAAACATGAAGGTTACATGAAAAAACAACAACCACCACCACCCATGTTATGACATGACATTTCAGCAAATCCCTTCCCTGGCTATTAGGCACACGTAATTTCAAATTAGGATGTGATGGAGCTGACGTACTGGGCTCTCTGCTGGGGTCGTTCACAGACACCATGAGCCTTTGCAAGGCCCCGAGAGCACCGGCAGACTCTCTAGGCTGTCGCTCTGCCGGACAGAGCGTGGGCGATGCTATTCCATCACCCACCAGTGTCCACCCCGGGTGTGAAGCTAAAACAAAAACTAAGCGTCTGCAGCAGCAGGAGGAAACTCCGGGACTGCACTGAGAACCACCCGCGGGGCTGCACCAGGAGTGGCCCTAAACGACAAACCAAACGTTCTCCCCCCCCACCGCCCAAACTCGAGAAAGATGGATTGATCACCACCCTGCTACTTCCAAGACGCCAGGGTCTGGGCAGGGAAGACCCCGCGTCACTCTGCCCTGGACACCGAGGGGCACCCCAGTTCCCAATCCTGCGACACCCCTGCCCTGTGCAGGCCACTCTGCCTTACTGGTCACACCAGGGCCCAAACAACAGACAGCAGGACCTGCCCGCCTCTCCCTGCGTGGGCCGGGCCCCCACTGTGCCTCAGGCTGGTCACTCATTTGACCTCCCAGCAAGTCCCAAAGGCCGACTTCTGGCTGAGCAGCAGAGGAAAAAGAAGTTCACAGATGTTTACAGCGTTTCTAAAAATATGTCGACGTGAGACCGGTGCCTAGGACAGACCTCAAAGACCTTCATGGCAGGCCCTCCGCGGGGCTGACCGCCCAGATCAAAGCAGGAATGCATGCTTGGAAGGGACCCCGGGGAGACGGAGCCCCAGACACGACTGAGGCTGGTGACAGGCGCGCCTGGCTCACTCCTCCGGTACACATCTGAGGTTTCCACCCCAAAATTATAAACACAATGCATACTATAAACACAGTGCATGCTATAAACATACAAATACATCATATACACACAATACAGATTATATCCACAGTGCAGGCTATTAACACAGTGCATTTTTTAACCAAGAAGAAGTATCTGGAAGGGGGAAAAAAACACAAAGAACCAAGAACTCGTCACTTGCTTTCGTGAATAATAAAACCTGAAGTGGAATGAGAAGAGCAGACTTCTAAACTAACGGTCGCGTCCAGGCAATTCCAACGCCAGTGGCTGAGGCCGCTGCTGGGGACCTCTGCAGTGAAGACAAGCGGCCCCAGTGCCCCTGAGGTAATACAGGCTCAAGGTGCTTTGCCCTTCCGCTGACCCCACTCTGGTCCTAGGCACCACACAGGTCCCCCCCAGCCCCACTAGGAGCACCCCCTAAGCACAGAGCACCCCAAACATTCAGATTGAAGCAACTCTGAGCCAGGAAGGGGTGAGAAGTCTTGCAGGTCACAGAAAGTGGATCTGCTTGAGAGGCGCCGGGTGAGACCCTCTGAGCGGGGAGCCCCTCCTGAGGACCCGAGGCCTCGCGCGTGTCCTAGGGCTCAGCACCTCCTCGCGGGGTGCAGGGCAGTTAAGGGAAGTGGGCGAAACCTGTGGTGTAGTAAGCGAGTCCGGGATGTCTCTGGAGGAGCAGGACCACTGAGGGTCACAGTAAGGGGCAGAGAGAGAGGCCAGCGGGGAGGGCTCTTGCCTCGCACGCGGCCAGCCGGGGTTCAACCTCCTGGCACCCCTTATGGTCCCTAAAGTTCCATCAGGAGAGATTCGTAAGTGCAAAGTCAGGATAAGCCCAGAGCA